ACGGTGCTAATGGGTGGAGGGCTGTTTTTAACCAGTAACAGGCCGCACGCAACAGAGCACACATGCCTGAACATCTTTCAGGGTCAACTCTTTAATACAATATATATTCCTGTACAGGACAACCAGTCTGTAAGGTTTACTATATACCAGTGGTTCTTGGACAGTAATTTTAGTTTTGGGCTATGTTTATAAAAGTTAAAGCATCAACTATTTCTCCAAAGGGCCAGCATCTACAGGCATTGCTTTATTGGCTAAATCTGGACAATTATATAGGGCTAAAATAGTCGCTGAAAATTTTACGGTTCAGCCTGCCCATTTTTGTCCAAATTAAACCAGAGACAGACTTCCTCTACAAGCTCTAGCTATTGATAAATTGAGATCATTTAAAACCATTTCAAGTTTACTACTTAAATAAACCCCTATATAATTCCTTAGAATCCTACAGCACTTTTTTAAGCAGCAACCAGGAACTTTCATTTTGTGCTGATTCCGCTGGCACGTATGGACAAAGTCAATAGTGTTTCCATCAACTCGTTTCATTGATTTCAAGGGTAATCTGACCTAAACTGTCCCAGCAGGGGTCAGGATTATAAATAACTATACAGAAATAGTATTAGAAGCATAGTATTGAATTGAGACTGTTTCATAACCAGTTTAAAAATCCATGTAGTACGTTTAACTAACTTAGAAGACATCTTCTTAAGTTTAAAACTAATCTAGACTTAATATACGAGTACTCTTCTCATATAATTTGTTTTTTCAGCATGATGCTGTGGTTTTATTGCAAACAAAAATCACCTATCATGCTTCTTCGTCAGTATTTTTCTTTTCTTTCCTTTGTATGTCTCTGTATTAATATACAGTGTATCTTGACACATGTAAATGCTCCATCGAGTAGCATCATCTCATCAGCTTGTTGAAGGTCAGGATGCAAACACTCTCAGGCCATACAGTGCACACAAAAGGTCACTAGGCCACAGAAATACTTGTTATGGATATTAGGAATAAATGGAATATATTCATATTCACAGCACACATGAACAGATATGCAGAAAATCTTACACGTAACAGCCAACACTAACAGGGAGCTCTAACTAACCAGCTGCACCCAGTGCCAAGTTCTCTCCTGTTCCAGGCTTCCCAGCCCTAAAAGCGCTATTTAATGGTTAAAGGACAGAATGGCGCTTTCACTGTACCGCATACCGTACAACAGTGCATGACAATGTGGTTGTTGCACATCTTAATGGTAAGATGACTCTCAGACTAAAACATTCCTAACTCCAGGAAGCAGCACTGTCAGTGCAGCGGACGATGACCTCATTGTGAAAAACTAGTCCATGACAGCTGAGCCCTGGGACTCTGAGCTAGTAATGGGCATTGAATATGTTTGTATGTAGTTGCAGATTCTAGCCTTGTTTTATTACTGCAATCATGGGTTGTTCTTGAGAAAATAGATGATCTACTGACTGACTGATTACCACTGCTTTGCTTGACTTTTGGTTGAACTGTTTTGGAAGTGGATTCTGGTATTTCTGTGCTTAAAACAGGCGTACATACATGTACCAAATATGTACTGTCTTAAAATGTGTCCCTTTTCATCTCAGAAAGTTCCATTATTCATTCTTTACAACCTAATGTATTCTCTTTGTATGAGAACAAATGTCTAATATTCAAGCTGATCTTGTCAACTCATCATGTTCTTTTTTTAATGTTAGACTATGTGAATCATAAGAAAAACCTGATGGTAAACTTAAACAAAGCCTACTTTAATCAAAATAACTTCAACCTCACGTCTAAGTTATCCAAAGAGTGAAATAGAAATGGTAGGGCTGTCATTATTCTAGGTTATCATTTGGACCTTTGAGCACATGATGGCACGTCTGCAGCGTCTGCGTCTCAGAAATGATCAGACTTTTGGTGATTTAAAGTCGATTGTTTCAGAGTCCATTTAGTAGCTGCTCTGCTTTTGTATCACACCATGTTTCTCAGCAGATGGAGCTGCAAAAAGGAGAGAGTAAGTAAGTCCTTAAAGTGCTCAGAAACAAATGTGAACATCAATAGTTCAGTGACAGTTGGTCTTTTCTCTTT